GGGGGTCTAAGCATGGCGATGCTGCAGAAAGGCGCGAGCGATGATGCGGGAGAGCGAAATTATGGGACCCAAAACTTCCAAGCAACACGGCCACACAGCCCAGAAGACCCACATCAGCCATCGTATTCCAGCCGTGAAAGCCTTTGACAAAACCTTACTGTGCTTCTACTGTTCTTGGAATCAAGGTCGCTTCTATTTCTGTTCTTGTAGGGCCTGGTGACCTTTGAGGATGTGGCCGTGTATTTCACAGAGAGCCAAGGGGCTCTGCTGGATCCAGATCAAAGGGCCTTGTACAGGGAGGTTATGATGGAAAATTATGGGAACGTAACTTCCCTGGGTAAGGAATCTAGTTCCTCATGTTGTAAGCGGCTGAATGTTTCTTTGATCACTGTTGCATTTTTGAAATAGTGAATGTTTTTGAAATGATTAATAGGGTAATAGTTTTCACTTCTTTATTTTTTTTCTTACAATAAACCAGGCGGTGAGCACAACAATCTATGGCAGGGTATTCTAGGCTAATGGCAGACATATATAAAATTTGCATTGTCATCTTATTTTCACGTAAAGTTCTGTGTCACAGTTTATGTGAGAAACAAGAGAGAGAAATTAATCCCCCAAGCAGCTGCTGTAGGAATTCTTCCTTTCTGGTTCTAATAATTGAAGAAAGCAAACAAGGCAGAAAAACATCCAGAACAATAGTTTGGAATGTAGAAAATGTGATCCATTACTTCTATCTATGTCTCTTTCCTGCAGTTAAGTTCCTGCAATCTTAAAAGAATTGATTGGAGCTGGTTCTCTCTCTCTCTCTCTCTCTCTCTCTCTCTCATTCTCTCTCTCTCCCTCCCTCCCTCCCTCCCTCCCTCTCTCTCAAATCTAATTACTGCTGGAGATCTTCGGGATATTAGCGGGGAAAAAGCCTATGATTTACAGAGAGGGTTGTGTGGTGCTTCCCTTCCAATGTGAGATTCTTTCTAAGTTATTCTTCCAAGCTGCAAACATGTTGGAAAATAATCTCCCATTCCTGTTTGCGCTGTGGTTCTACCTGTGTGACAAATAGAAGGGAGGCTAACTTCTTTATGGACTGGGAAGACAGCTACTCTTGGTGTAAAAATCCTCAAAGGCTGGTTACAAAGGATGGTGTCTGTAGAACCCAAAAAGAGTTTCCACCATTGATCTAAAGGGGGGTTAAGATTTAGGGATGGGAACACTGCATGATCCTTTCCCACATGCATCTAATATTCTTAAAGGAGGACCTTCCCAGTCTTGCTTTATATGTGAGTAGAAAAGACTTTTGCCATGAAGGTCTTGGAAAAGATATTCAGGTGCTGGGATACATCCATACCTACAAAGATTGGAATTGTACAAGAAATAGTTTTTCCTGTGACACTTTATGGAAGGAAGAGCTGGACTTTGAAGAAGCAGGATAGGATGAGTACTGACACTTTGGTGTTGGAGAAGACTTTTGAGAATACCATGGACAGTCAAGAAAACACAGTTCATTGAACAAATCAACCCAGAGTTCTCACTCAAGGCACAAAGGACAAGGATCAAATTATCCTACTTTGGACACATTATGCAAAGACCCAGCTCTGTGGAGAAAGCTCTAATGCTGAGAAAGGTGAAAGGAAAGAGAAGAGGACAATCAACAGCAAGATAGATGGTCTCAGTTACAGTGATGATGTGTGCACCTTTGGAAGAACTGAAAGACCAGGCTAGGGACAGATCATCATGGAGAAAATCTATTTATGTGTTTGATAAGAATTGACACTGACCTGATGGTACATAATCAATCAGAAAAGACTTGCACAAAGAAATACACATCACAGTCATTCAGTGAGTGGCCTAGTGAGATGTTGAGCTGTTCAGGGACTTTATTTCCCAAGTCCTCCCTGTAAACCTGAACTGTATTCTTCCCTTGTCCTTCGTAGAGTTGGCAAAAGGACATAGAAGGTAAGGAAAAGGAAATGCTGTTCCAGAACGTTCATATTCTGAATGTTGGCATCTTGACTCTAGATCTAGATCTTTCTATATCAAGATCTGTCTATATGTTTGGGATGCAGAATTTTGATTCAGATTGCTAGGTATATCCATAATGTTACTTTTTGCTAGGTGCACCTATAAAAAAATCTCGCTTATCTAGAACTGAAGCAATAATTTAAAAATGTAATCTGATTAAAAGATGTCCTGTCTTCACCTTCTTTATGGGATTCACTGGGTGTTTCTGTTGCATATCAGGCCTGTTCTGCCACTAATTTGGGGATACCTGATTGCAAAGAATTGTTCTGTTTTCTCTTAACACATGTTCAAAGGCCACAGAATATGTTTGGAATGTCAGTTGTATGCATTGATGGTTTCTGTTGTTTTCTTTTCTGGAAAGGATTTGTAGTTGCCAAACCTGAGCTTATCTCTTGGCTGGAACAAGGGGAAGGACCATGGTTATCAGATTTTCAGGGCTTGGATGAAATGAAGAACTTCAGTAGCATCACGGGTAAGAGTTATCTGGATATGACAACTTAAAACTTATTCACTCCCTCCCTCCCTCTTAACAGTATCTAATACACATAAACTGTGTAATACAGACTCCAGATTTTATACTCTCACAGTCAGGCAGATTTGAAATCTAAGGCAATATAGCAGTATTTAGCGACAGTCAATGTAATGGTATCATTTCTATTGGAGAAAAGATACCAGAGATCAAATGAATCTGAGCGGCCTGGGGGATTTACAAATAATGGTATTGAATAACATGCAGAAATATCCAGACACAAGGGACAGTATAGGAAAAAATGACCAGATGTTTCAATCTGGCCAATTCCACATGGGCAAAGCCATTCATTGAAAGAGATTTTCTTATATTCCAAAACAGCAGTAGGTAGAACATGGACTCATGCTGACATCATAGCCTATAGAAGGCAGTCACTTGGGTGCTATATTGAGACCCAGTCTCTCTATAAATCTGCATTGCTGATTTATGCATTTGTCTATTTTTATACATTTCATTGTTGTTACCTGTCTGGAGTGTTCATTTAATAATGCAATGGTATGTGGGAATGACCTTGGGAGACAGGAGGAAAAGCCGCAGATTAGGCAATGGCCAGATAAGAAGCAGCTGAGCCCACACAAGGAATGGGGGCATGGCAAACTTCTCAGAAGGGACCCTCCTTGGTTTCTTGAGCTGTAAGGTGATGGGGGAGAGATGTACTTTGAGACTTGCAAGTCCTCATGTAACCTTACAATAAAGTAGAGCTGGTACTTCTGGGTGTGCTTCTTGTCTGGACTAGCTCCTAAGGCAGACAGATATCAGGGATACAAATCAATAAATATCTCCCCTCCCCTTTCATGTGGTCCTGTGTACATTTTGTTTCTGTTTGAATTATTTCCCAATAGGTGAAGATAGAAAACAGCATACAGACATTGTGTACGAGACACAGTCTGTTCAGAAATCAAGCCAAAAGAAACATCAGAGAACATGCATGCGTGAGAAGCTGTATAAATGCTTGAAGTGTGGAAAACGTTTTGGTTGGAAATCCCACGTTCAAGGACATGAGCAAATTCACGCGGGCAAAAAACTGTCCAAATGCGCAAAACGTTTTGCTAACCCCTTTGCTTTTTCCAAACACCAGGCCATCTGCCCGAGAGAGAAGCCATTGAAATGCTTGGAGTGTGGAAAGTGTTTTTCTTGGAAATCAGAGCTGATTAGACACCAGCAAGTCCACACAGGAGAGAAACCCTATAAATGCTTAGAATGTGGGAAATACTTTGCACATAAATCACAACTCAAGAGGCATCATTTAGTTCACACTGGAGAGAAACCCTATAAATGCCTTCTGTGTGAAAAGTTTTTTACTCAGAAATCTCAACTTAGGACCCATCATCGACTTCACACTGGAGAGAAACCCTATAAATGTCTGCTGTGTGGGAAGTGTTTCACTCGGAAATCCCAGCTCATGGTACACCAAGTTGTCCATACTGGAGAGAGATCCTATAGATGTTTGGAGTGTGGGAACTGTTTTACTCAGAAATCACATCTTGTGAGTCACCAGACTCTCCACATTGAAGAGAAAACCTATAAATGCTTTGAGTGTGGAGAATGTTTTGCTCGCAAATCACACTTTGTTAAACACATGAGAATTCACAAAGGAGAGAAAATCTATACTTGCTTGGAATGTGGGAAGGGTTTTTCTCGAATATCACAGCTTGTGACTCATCAAAGGGTCCATACAGGAGAGAAACCTTTTAAATGTTTGGAATGTGGGAAGTGTTTTGCTGATCCATCAACATTATCTAAGCACACAAGGGTCCACACAGGGGAGAAACCTTATAAATGTTTGGAATGTGGGAATGGTTTTGCTCAGAAATCACAACTCATGATCCATCAGAGAGTCCATACTGGAGAGAAACCCTATAAATGCATGGAATGTGAGAAATGTTTTGCTCAGAAATCACAACTAGCGATCCATCAGAGAGTCCACACAGGAGAGAAACCATATCAGTGCTTGGAATGTGAGAAGTTCTTTGCTCGGAAACACCACCTTGTGAGACATCAGAGAGTTCACATAGGAGAGAAATCATATAAATTATTGGAGTTTGCAAAACCTTTTACTCATGTAAGGCACTCTATCATTGGTTCTCAACGGGGGAGGTACT